ACTAGATATTGAGATTGGATTTCAGTGCTCATTGCCACCAACAGCAGGAACAACCATCAAGCTGGCCTACTGTTTCTTCCTTTCCTGCATGGCTTACTGGTGATCCTCGTAAAAATCGAAATCATGCAGGATGGTCACATCAATTTCATAATTCTTGAAAATGTTCAACATTTCAATTCCTTGTTTCAATTTGACATGCAAAAAATACTGGYATTAGATAGGAAAAGAAACTAAGGTTGACATGAAAACCCACATGCAAACAAATAAAACACAACCAACAKTATATCATCCAAAGTGATAATTTCAATCAAGTACTCTACTTGAAAATTTTACACTGTATCAAGGGCCCAGACCCTTTCAAAATTTAACGAAAAGCTCTAACCAAGCCTGCACAAGTTGCACCCAGGCCCATTCAAATTTTAACAAAAAGCCAACCCAAGTCTGTTCAAATAATTTCACCCCTACTGGTTAGTAAGAGACCGGATCTGCTCCTCACACCGACCTCACAGACACATCCCACCATGCATTAGGGATATCTCCCGTACTTATACATTTTTATTCACAGGAGGTGTTCTCAATGCATGGTGAAATGTGCCTGTGAGGACAGTGTGAAGCGCCCTGTGTGAGGGGAAGATACCAATTCGATTTGTATGACCCATGCATTGTTGCCCACAAACCACATGTCATGCATGCAAAGAACACAGACACTATTTCCTAGGGATGAAACTTTTGTGGGTTAGGGTTGGAATTTTGTCAAAATTTTAATGGGCCCAAAACCCATACAACCTCCAACCAAATCGTGTCTCTACTTTTTTCTCCAATAAATAACAAGTAAGGCTATCAATCGATTGGGTTTTGATCCAATCCAATTTCGGATATTCAATTCAATTGAACCCCTTTATGAGTTATCCGTGAGATCTATTTTTTCCCTTGTTTTGCCTAAAGAAATCAATAGATGATCTGAAAGCAATAAAAAAATGTTCAATAGAAACTGCACTCACAGTTATGAACAACATATAACAAGCACATTCACATAATAAGTGACCTCCTATACATGAAACTTTAGCTACACTCTAAAGCAATATTTATAATACATGTGAACGCATATGAAAGATAACAAGGTCAAAGTCTTTAAGAGGACCATGGTGATGATACGTTGTTCATTACAATTTGACTTCTCTACTTGTTCATTTTCTTTTCTCTATCCTCTGACCAACCACCTTGATCTGTGGAAAACATTGACTAATGCTATGCTTGATTTGATAAAAAAACTAGGAGAGAAATATAAAGTAATTGAGGGAAAGTTCTTAACAATTCCTTAACAACTTTCCCTTTGTCTCTTATTTTCTATTAAACCAAACATATCATAAGTGATAGTCATTTGAATAATGAGAACTCGGATTCTGTCATAAATTATGGGTATGGGTATGGGTATGGGCAAGCTTTTTTTTTTTTTTTCAATTTTTTAACCCCTAAGTAGGCACATTAAATTTTTATTTTTTTATATACTAAAAAGAATGGAAGTTGCAGGAAGAGTATTATTTTCTTGGGAGTGGGGGAATTTGTCTGAGCACTTACCCATGAATACATTAATAACCCACGTAGAAGATGAAGACTCATTGTTTATATTTTCTTTGGAAGGAGGGAAGGGGCATAGACCTAACACTGATTCAACATAAATGATACTGCACAGCCATATAAAGCAAAACAGTGAAGACATAAAAAGGGTGTGATTAGTTTTATAGAAAAAGAGAAAAAGGAAAGTTGATTGAAAGTTTAAGGAATTTTACAAAATTTATTAAGTATTTTTCCTCAATTTTCTATTTCTTTATTTTTTTCTATCAAGCCAAGTATTTAAGAACTCTTGTTACCCAAAATTTTTCTCATACATGAATATATATAAAACCCTTGCCAGATGTTGGTTGTCATTGAGACTTGAGAATGGGTCACAAGAATCGATTAATGATAAATTAATTAGTTTCAAGAATCGACTGATGATATATATTGGGGATGAGGGTGCAAATTAACCGGGCTAGCCAAGTTTAGGGTGAAAAATCAAACATAACATGAGGTTTCAGACAAGTCAAATATCTAAGGCCCTGACGAACCAATTTGGGGTTTAATCCATTTTTTTTTAGCTTAAGCAATTTAATCCTATTTTAGCATATATGTTTTTTATTTCTATATAAGTAAAAAAGCAAGTCAAATGAGGTTGAAACATATATTTTACTTGTATTCTTCTATTATATAAAACGAAAAACAAGTCAAACAAATTTACTTTCAAATCAATTTCCACACTATACCATCAACTTTCAAGAAGAATAATAAGAAAAATCAAATGAGAATCAAACTTCATACCTTTTCCTTATCTTGACTATTTCTTGGTGCACATTTTCTTCCTAAAATTTTGGCTCTCTCTACACACACAAAACAATTGACATCTAGCTTAAACCCTAAAAGAGAAAAAACCCAATCTAGGAGTTGAAGCTCACCATAAGGGAACAAGAACATTGTTCTCTAGTTGTAAATATTCTGTTTGAACACTGAGGAGCTTGAAGCAATATTCAATAGTGGTGGGATCCCTGTCAACCAAAAGGCTACTGTTCATTAGTGGGTGTTCACCAATATGAATAAAATTTTGTTTCTCAAAAAAATAGCAACTGCCACATTAATTTGATCTGGCTAGGTGGACAAGGGCAATAAATATAGTCTCAATAAACTGGGCCTTTGATAAGAAAATGATACAAGGAACTAAATGAATCCTTCTGGTTATTGCTAACCCAATAATGGCAGACATGACTGAACTGAATGAATTATTGTTTTGTCTTTTAATGGATAATATCATGATTTTTAAAACTGGATTGGACTGGACGGTCCGACCTAAAAAATTGGGAATCAGTCGCTTGATCGATTCCGTTTTATCCCAGAACTGTCATTTTGGCCAAAAACTGTTGATTTGGTCAGTAAATCGTTGACTTGAACAGTCAAACCATTTAAACCATTCACCAGTTTTTAATCATTTTTCATTTTTTTATCAGAACGGGCCGTTTATTTGATTTAAATGATTGGACTGTTCAACCCGGGAACTGAACCCTGAATGGTTTATTATCCGGTTTGATTTAAAAAACCTTGGATAACATTATACAGAAATCAACCCAACTTCAGATTTGAGTTATAACTTGTTCCTTAATTATTAAAAAGCAATGAGCCATTCAGTTCAATTACTTCAACTGCTATCAAAAAGGTCCTCAGCAGGTAACTGTACAAGCAAGCTTGTAGGTGTTTTTTGTTCAATCAGCGACCAGCTTCATTTATTATTCTAGAGACTAATATCTACTTCCATGCATTGCATGTGCCCTAAGGTAGGCATGACAGGTATACCTTCACTACAGTAGTGATCAAATTTAATCTAATAAATTTGTTAGGGTCCAGAGCTCCATACCTCAACCAAACAGCCAATATCTTTTCATTTCTGTTCTTTAATTTAATTTAATTCAGAGGGTGGGAATTGGGACGTTGGGTGGAGTTTGGCTTCAGTCAGAGCAAGCCCATGTTCCAACAGCTTCTTGTAACCTTGCTTTGGAAATATCTTCGCATAAAGTAAAATACATAAATAGGGAGATATTCCCAATGTAAAACTGTAAAAATTGTTCGAACAAGCTTTACTCTGACTGACTGAAGTCGGATTCTATTGGGTGGAGGCTGTGGAGCTTTTTACATTTGGGTTGATCACCACTTAGAACTCTATGGGTCCTCTGATGGAGTTTGGATTTGATACACACAAGACACTGAGATCACAGCTGGGAGTGCCCCCAATAGGTGCCCACATGCATATCTCAGCGTGTATTGAGAATATTTCTCATACTTGTCATTGAGAAATATTTTCAATACACGGTTGGAATGTAGTGTAGGACGCAGATGTTAACTTGAAAACACTACAACCGCACATCATTCATACTTGTATTCTCATTTATGAAAAATGTTCTTGATCTATTGCTATAGTGTTTAAAAGGATGCACATAAGGTCCATTAATCCATCAGAAAAAATCTTTAGGGTTTGATCTTTTAACTCCATATTTAGGAGGACGTCAAATGACCATCTGGGCTATAAGCTTGTATCTCCTACTCACAAATAGTTCCCATCTCATACTCACAAGAAGCTGCAGGCATTCATTGGAAATGTCATTTGGTAAGATATTCTCAATACACGGCGGTAATGCATTGTGTAGGGATGTGGGAAAGATTTTTGTATGGACGGAAGGCGTCCTTGTAAAGAAACAGGATGATAGGGCAACTATGGACCAGAAAACCCAGCCCGGCCGTCTTTGCCTGTTTGGATAAACCTGTCCCTGTCACCGAGATAGTGCATGAATACCCACCAAATATTTTCAGAAGATGGCCACTGGTCTTAGTTCTAGGCTAGCGGGCACTTGGCATCAATCCCTCATTTGGCCATGTTCGGTGGGCCTCGAAAGAAGTAAAACATTCGTTCAACAAAATGATGGCAAATTGACGGTTGAAAAGCGCTCATCGCATGAAGGGCCTATCTATCCATGCCAACGTCTCTGTTTGTAGACCGAATCGTTCAAAAGTGGAAGACTCGTCGTTGGTAACTTTTTGGCGGTAAGAAATCAGGACTTGACGAGTTGAATGAACAAACAAGTGCTGAGGTAGGCCCGTTAAGCATTCGGATTTCGTCCTCACTTCTTTTTCAGCCGTGCATTGGGAATATCTTCCATGAAGAAATATAATAAGTGCGGAGATATTCTCAATGCACAGTTTCAAGAGGCTGTGTGGACGGTGTTATGACGAATTCCGGTTTTGGTCCGTTGACCGAGTGCGCATGCATGTGACGTATCAGAAATCCACGCCTCCCGCTTGGTCGCCACGCGCATAAGACCGGGACCCACCCATTCCCTCGCTTTTCCCCGAGTCCTGACCCCACCTCTTCTACTACCCATCCTTCATCTATAACAGAGCATTTAATTGAAACAGAAATTTAATTCCAAATATCCCCTTCTCCACCAACCTCCCATCTTCCTCCCTCCCCCCATGAATCAACCCCCAATTTCGTTAAATTCCAACTATAAATACCTACCTGACTACCTCATATTAATCTGAGACGGTACTTAAAGGCTTATGAGCTCCCTCTCTCCCTCCCTCTCTCCCTGCAACTTCGCTATGTCTCCAAGCGAGCTCACTTCAAATGTATGATCTGCAATTTCAATTTTGTTTATTTAAATTTTCAATGCAACCTGGATATTTTGTCCTATTTCTGTTTAGGATCGATTTCGTGTTTAAAATCTCGGTTTGTATATCAAATTCTTGCCAGAATTGTTTTTTTCTTTGGGTGTGACCTTCCTAGATTTGTTAATTATGGTGTTTGAACAGGTTTTGGTTAACTGAGGTTAAGTTATAACAATTTATATGTAACTCTGTTCTTTAGCAATGGTTTGGGTTCATTTGGATTGATGCATCGGTTCATTTGCTGGCATACTGGTTTTGTTGTTTGTATAGCTTGCCTTATAAGTAATAATTTTTTGAGAGCTAAAGCAGATAGTAGGTTGAGCTGAGGAGCTTACCATTTAACGAGACTGGGGACACCAATTTGGATTATTGGTCAGGCAAATTAAGTTGAATGGTGAAGGTGGATATCTTCGAGAAAAATATGTCTTACATACTATGACCTTCCATATACTAAGGAGGATTGGAATTTGTAATTTCGTTTCAACTCTTTTCTGAAATCAAACAAATTCTGGGAATTTCCTCGGGTTGTCTCGTAATGATCCTACAGGGAAACATAAGTATATGTTTGGTGGAGTTAGCATGTAATTGAATTGTGAAATATTACAGAGAGAAGAAAAACGACCCATAGCCATGTCTACATGTTAAGACATATGCTGATAATGATTCCATATTTCCATCAGAGAAAGAGGGAAAAGGTACAACCTACCTTACCAAAAACAAAAAGCACAGTCAATTACTTGACCTCAAGAGAGGCAAACCTAAAATGATAGTGGCATAGATACATACAAAGTGCTCGTTCACCACTTCACGGGAATAGGATACACCTGTAAAGCTAGCTCCTCCAATCCTCCTAGATAAAGAATCTGCTAGAGGATTAGCTAACATAAATGGATACTAATCGAGTTGTCTCCATAATATCAATAGGAACTACAGGGCATTCATTTGGATGTCTGCCAAGTGATTCATCACACTATCAATTAATTGTAGGACAAAACAGGCTTCAATCCTGAAGTTAATCCATTCCAAAAGAAAAGGGATAATATATTGTTTCAACTTGTATAACAATCTTGTTTCATGTCATGCAATTTTATATTGTGCTTCAAATTTGTCAATAATAGGCCTTCCTTGGACAGGGGAGTTCCAGTGGGACATTCGTGCATCCAGAGAATGGTTTTAAGGATCCACTTTCTTCCTTGGATTCAGAAAAAGTAATGATGGAATTCCTTCAACAGTCATCTGTCAAGGGAATTGATGACCACCTTTTTGAGTTCTCCGAGGCTTTGAGAAGTAAGATTTTTAGATGAACACATTATTATTATTGTTGTTATTATTATTTGTATTAGTATTAGTATTAGTATTAGTATTAGTATTATTTTGTATTCTTAGATGTAGCACAAATCTGGCATCTACCTTAATGCTTTTATGTTCATTTTTAGCTGTTGCAAAGGCATTAAGACGGGTAGCAGAAGGAAAAGCTTCTGCTCAAGCTGAGGCAGCTGAATGGAAGCGTAAATATGAATTAGAGAGGACAAGGAATCTTAGTAAGGAATTCAGAGGTTTGTTCTGGTCAAAATACATGCATTCATTAGTTACAATTTTTCCTTCATATGAACCTGCAAATTTCAAGTAATTTTTATGTTCTTCTCTCTAATGCTGAAAATAAACAAATAATATCATTGTGGTTAACTTTTCAATTCCCAATTTTATATATTTCCTTCTAAATTACAGAAACCCCTTCAGTAATTATGAGAAAAAAATTATAAGATTGATTTACTTTATATGGAAGAAGTAACAATGCAAAGAAACTATGTTAAACTAAAAAGAATCAAGAAATGATCCTTTTTCAATATTTGAGAACTTGGGCCCAATCATACAGGAAATTGCTCACATCTATGAATAGGAAGAGGTCTTCCATAATCCTGTTCCTGTAAATTCTTTTTCATTCCTTGCGTAAAGCCCAGCAAACTGGGAAAGGTAGCATGACTTCTAACCTTTGAGACACTTCTATCATGAAGCAATACTTCTCTAATCTCCCATGGGTTCACCAAAGGCAGAGAGTAAAAGAGGAAGCTCCACATGATGGATATCTTCCTCTTCTTTGTATTGACGTTATGCATCTGTTAGGAATGTTGCATCTTGCATACCCATCAAAATGGCAAAGCCTCTGCCAATTTGTCATAAATATGATTGTAAAGTAATAATAAATGCTTGAATTTTGGATACCAAAATTTATAGAAATATTATATCTTAAGTAATTGATATCTTATTACTGAAAAAGGTATTGATATCTCATTTTCCTATCCAGAATCCGAGATGTATGTATATTTGCCTATGTGTTTATGACGGCCTTTTTTTAACTAAGATATCTTCTTTGGATGCAGAACTTTCATTTGGAGATCATCATGATACTGAGAGTGATAGGACAAATAATGAAAAGTTTTGTGGGAAACATGGAATCTGCTCCCAACATATTCTTAGGGATGGAGAAATAGATTTTGATTCAAAGGTGTTTCACAATAAAATCATGAGAAAGGTAAGACCGTTCTGTTTTCCTTCTGGTCCTGCACTTCTGACTACCTCTTTCATTCCAAAGTGACATCATGAAATTGTATCTATTTCTGTCTACCTTGAAATTTATTTTGCTTGTTTTTTATGACCAGTTGTTCAATAGTGTGTGTTGATATGTTTTTTTCTTTTAATTTTTTTTAGTTGTCTGGAGTATCTTCCTTGAAAGTGTATTCATGAGATCATTTAAGAATTGCTAGGGGTTGGGGACTGTGCTTCATTTTGGGGGAAGCGTATCAGGTCTGCAACCAATTGTTTTTTTTTTTTTCTTGTAGAGATGGGCTTGCGCTTATCTATAGCATTCATTGTTTTGATGCATAGATTTCAATAAATTTTCCTTTGCAATTCTTAAATGGTTATTTTCTTTATATCATTAGTATCTCCTAGGTTCAAGTGTTATGTTAATGAAAGCAATCTTGGAACTAGTTTTTTTTTTTGGTAAATGAACCAAGGGTAACGACTTATGTTTTTTATGGGGAGGTATTTTGAAACATAATGATGAAGACCATATAAAGGGGTAGAAATCACTCTGTCAAGCCATTTGTTTAACATCTCAGTCACCTTGATATCAATATTTCTCAAGATACTTCCCAACTTACAATGCCATTCTTGATGTGAATGAGTAGCTGCTTGATTGGTACTCATTTGCTATCTGGGTTTTCCTTTAATATTGAGCCTGCGCTTCATTGTTTTTTCAGAGCAACAGGTTCCTCTCAACCACCTGATATTTTGATCTACAATGACATGTGGTTAAGATCTATTCACCACCCTGTAGGGCCTGTATTTGATAATGAAGGACAAATAGGATATTAGACAGACTTCATTGGACGAATAGGATATTAGACAGACTTCATTGGACAGTTTATGCCTATTTTCTTTTTCTTACTTTTTAATTAAATACTTTTGATATTGACATTGCCAACCCCCAGAAAAAGAGAAAAGGAAAAATGCATAGTTCGCAGGGTTCTTTTTTTTTTTAAAACCATCTCTCTTTTGCTCCTATGGACAACTTCCAAGTCATGTATATGCAGTTGCATTGTTGCTTTCTTAGGTACAGTTAAAACTGTAACTGAGCATATTTCTACATGAAATAGGCATCTTTTAGACTTTCTTGGGGATGCAATGGTGAGAAAAATGGCCAGCACAAGCATGACATTGTCTCTTTTGAAAGAGGGAATATAACAACTGCAGAGCGAAGCAGTAAACAGGTAATATTTCTTCAATTTACACTGTGTCTATTTGTCTACATTTACATTTTAGCAGGCTCATGATGTATGTGCAAAATTTGTGATTCTTATTTCCAAAATTTTGTCCACTCAATATGAAAGTGTTTGCCACTATTTGTTCATTATGTGCTCATACAACTGCTGTTAATGGTACTGCAATTCTTGTTTTTTTGGATCCTTCTCTAAGTTATCTAATGGAGAACTCCTTTTCATTTTCAGATTTCCTTGAGGTGGGAATCGCCTCCACAGAAAGTGCTTATTTTGACCAAGCCAAATTCAATCTCTGTTCAAGTTCTTTGTGCAGAAATGGTCAGGTGTGGTTGTACTGAACTATCAGTTTTTGATGTTCTAGAGGCTGCGTTTGGAATCGGTGTAAAACTTTACACTGGTTTGATTTTGTCCGTGTTTGGAAGGAGAGTGTAATCATGATTGACGTAAAACTCCACTCTGGTTCAGTTTTGCGTACATTTGGATGGAGTGGAGTTTTACGTTGATAATCGATGTAAAACCTATCCAACGTAAAGTTTTACATCGATTTTATTGATGTAAAACTTTAGACTCTTCACCCATTGTGTTTTTGAAAAAGCAACGGTCACTTTCATGGTTCAGTGTAAAACGTCACTAGTGTACTTTTACACCGATGACATTTTACACTGATTCCAAACGCAGCCAGAGTTGTTTTTTTTTTCTTGGTTGCTAGAATCTGGTCCCAAAGTCTTCTTGGTATTATTAAAAAAAAAAGCGGAATAGCTTCCTAGATTCAGCTGAAAAAAAATAGGGCTAAACTTTTTCCCTCTTTGATGAGGAATTTGCATGCTAGTTTTGTTGTTCTCACATTGGCTGATTTTCTGTAAATACATATTATTTGTTTACGTTTTGTTGTTCTCACAGTGTGCTGTTATTTTATTTTTTCTAATATCAGTATAAATTAACAAGGTCCCCGTTGTAATACTGTTCTACTGTTTTCTTCTTGATGTTAAGAAATATTAATCAGAGCTTATTGTAGTACGCATAAAAATACATACAGATTTAGTGTGGCACATGCATATTTGTTTGCCATATATATACATATGCAAGAATACATGCATATATTTATTTTCAATTTATTACAAACAAACATACATGCATATATGCATATGTGTCTGTACTGGTGTATGTGTATCTCTACAGCGTTGTAACTTCGAAGCCAATGCTTGCATAGTATTTTACTTTTGGTCTCACTTTTCTCTTTATCTTCACAGATGGCTGAAACATCAGAAGAACATAGATGTTTTAGTGGAACCACGAGTGAGAAATGAACTTCTATTAGACGATTCCTCCTACAGTTTTGTACAGACATGGGAAAATGGTCAGCACTAAGACTTATCATTTTTGTAAATAGAAAATTACATTAAAACAAAAAGGTAGAGATGCAACAGGTGATAAGAAATTACCTGATCATAGCACAACACAATCCCTTCAATCCCCTATCAGAGCTATCTTCCTAGTAAAAATTCCTAAAAGAAGTCCTACCCAACAATTATACATACCTATCTTAGTTCAATAGCTCCACTTTCTCACCCCACCACCTAACTACTAGTTAGTCACAGAATTGAAGGATTTAACATCCTTCATTCTTTCCTCTTCCAACTCTATACATGCTCTTTTGGAAAACTCCTCTCCTCCTAAGAACAAACTTCATACCTTATTTCTTTTTCAACGACCTTATTGTGGTCCATTATCTTCTCGACCCTGAAAAATCAATAGGAGCAAATTCTTCATTTTCCTCCCCCTCCTTACCATCTCCATCTTCAACATCATCATTATGCAAAGCATTTGAGACCTCTTTATTAGGTCATGCCCTATATTCTTTATTTTTAAATCACTACCCCCAAAATGATTTCAGCATCTACTCAGGCACGCCAAGAATTAAGAATTTCTACCTCATTATTAAAACCATTGACCTCACCACTTTGTAAGTAAATTCTGACATCCAAACTGGTATCTTCAACATGACCAATTGTCAAGGAGAACACCAAGACTAATCATTCAATAACAATCTAAGCTTTTTCCATTCAAGATACATTATCTTTGTCATTGACAATTTTGAAAAGTGCACATAACACTTCTCCTTTCTACATTTAGTGCCTAGGTTAATTGTCCTATCAGATTTAGTCCTCTGACCACTTAGTTTTCCTTTATTTGCATTATTTTCCTCTATATCTTCTTTGTAGGCAAAGATCCAGTTGCAGTCTTTTTGTAATAATAGGGTGTATGCAATGTTGGCATTACTTGATGTTTAATCTGGATCGACAAGTGTCACTTGGGATTATAGTCTGCTCATGGTTTTTCCATTTATAAGTTTCCAATTTGTGTTGCTTTATCTTGCAGATGAGGAAATACTACATCTACACACAAAAGTTGATCTTGTTGTAACTCTTGGTGGGGATGGAACTGTTCTTTGGGTATGTTCCTTATATTTTTTCCAGATCTTAATTGGGTATGTACCTTCTATTTTTTCGGATCTTAAAATTTACGTATTCTGTACTTCATATTAGTTTGGAGTGAAATGGCTCTTTTTTTGGAAATTAAGATTATTCATTCTTTTTGCTTCTGAATGCTGCTTTTACATAGAATTCTATCTCATTGGTGGCAATTTAAAATTTTCAGAAGTGTTGCAATTGATAGAAGATCTCCATGTAAAAATTTTGGATATTTTACCTTACCTTTTTCAGAAAAGGATATTTCCATTTTGGGACCTACTAGGTTGATCTTGGGTGGGCAGATATCAATTTTATTTAATTGCTCTTCTTTGACCTCACTGGATGTCTTGAACATCTGGAAATTGTCCACTCCTTTCCACATCCACCTAAATGTTGGATAATAGTCAGTTGATAACTTTTACAGTTTTACAAAAGTCTGAAAAAGGAAAAATTTCTTATCTCAATTGGTATATTCATGCTGCAGTCTATGTCATGAAGCAAGGTCCAGCCCTTCTAACCGTCCTTGGGAATAGAATATTTTTGATAAAAAATCCACGAATGCATTTGTCAGACAAGGTCCAGCCCTTCTAAACCTCTATTTTCCTCCATTAGACAGGCATCTACTAAACTTCCTTTCGCAGGCCATCAACCAGCACTTCACTAGAAGCCAAAAGGGCCATTGCCTGTAACACATCAACCATAATTGATATGTTTCTCAAGAATTATCTTCACTAGGCAAGAAGTAAATATGTACATAAAAAAATCTATGGGTTCTCCATGTATGCAACATTCCAATCTAAATGAAACTGTTGACATTTGTTTTTGAGGATAAACTATGTCCAACTTTACTGGATCTACCTAGAGAGGAAAAGAAAAAAATAAATTGCCTACTAGCATCAAGTCAATAAAATGTCCTTCTTTTGCTTCATAATCTAATTGAATGAACTCAAGACCACCTAAACAGTCCATCATTATTAGAGAACATCACCCTAAAATAAAGGAAAAGAAAAAGAAGACAAAACAAAACCAAGGAAAGATATATGGTTTTGCACTTCAAGATACTTATAGATTTAGTGATTCTAGGGTACCTTGACCATAGATGTCAACTGTATGTTCAGCAGCTGTATTATGAGGTCAGATTAGCAGGTCATATTTGCATTTCATTAGTCATTGTCTTTCCCCTAAATATGCTCCATAATTATCCTATCTGCTACCAAGAATAAAGTTAGCAGCATCAAAAGCAGAGGGAAGGAGGGAAAAAGGAAAAATATACACCTTGGTGCCCCTTATTTTCATTAACAATTCAAAAATGACAATACGTCACTTAATATGATGTAAGCCATAAATACAATATAGGAGAGAACCGTTTGAGCATTTTAGGCTTAGGATTGATCCGTCTTGTTTAGGATACAATCTGCAAATGCCTGATTACTAAACCGTTTTCATTATTAATTTCTATTATTGATAAAAAGTGATTGTTTTAAAACCAAAGCAAAACTTGGTTCTGCACTCAAAACCTCCTTTAGCATATACATGGATATGACTGCAAATACAACACAGACATTTATTACTTCCTATGTTATCATACCTCCTCCCAACACAAAAAGCTTTGCTATATGCCATTAGTCAGAAGATTGAACTTCGACTTGATCTATCTTTATGTTGCTTTGTTTTTAGCATTGGAAAGATTGCGAATTTTCATTCCATCTACTTTCCATAATAATGAAATGCAAGTATTTGTTGTGATGGTTTGGTGCTCAAGGAAAATACTTGATTATCTAAACCCCTACCAGTTTCTCAGCTGTTTTTTTTTTCAACTGATTGAAAAAGTAATTCATCTAGTGCGACAGGACTTGCATTTTTGTGGATATACTTTATGGAATGTGATAAACTTTTTCTATCACATGTTTCTTAGTGATTATTGTGAAAATGAATTTGTGCCTGCCCTTGTTATTTCTTCAAGAAAAAAATTTCATCATTAAAATTGACTTCCATTTACAATCTGTTTCTTATTTGTAGGCTGCATCAATATTCAAAGGGCCAGTTCCTCCTCTTGTCCCATTTTCCCTAGGGTCTTTGGGCTTTATGACTCCATTCCGTATCCTCCATCTTTGTTTGAAACCATCATTTTCCAGTCAAAATAGTTTCTGGTTTGAAAGTTATAATGGGATTGATGACTATCTTGTTAAATATGTGATTTCTCTATTCATGTTATTTGCTTTCTATATCTAAAAATTCTTACTAGTCCACACATTATCATAAAATGTTTTTAGCTTGTTGCATTTCACATCAATGATCATGTTGTAGTGAACTTCATGGACTCGGGAAGCTATTCTCACTTTAAAAATAAGAAAAGTGGTAAGACTGGTTCAATCATGATTGAATCCTAAGTTTATTATAGGAAAAAAAGGGAATAGACCTGGAAGTTACAGGGTTCTAATTCAAGGAACCAAAGAGTTCTCAAAGGAACTAAAACCTAAAGCCATATTGTCATTTATTAATTCTAGTCACATTTCAAGATCTTCCATGCACCTTTTATATACCTCCGAGCATGCTTCTAATAGCGCAAACTTATTTGACAAAATTACAAATTCCTAGAATCCCACTCTATTTTCTCTACATCATGAACACCAAGTAGAAAGAGCCATTGCTGACTTTCCAACTTCCTGAATATGCACCATGCACCAGATGTTCTAGATTAGGCAACACAGCTTAATCATTTAATTGAGAAGAGAAGATTCAGATATTTCATTATGCACGAGGGATTTAAGCTGTTCAGTCATGTAAATGACATTTTACTTGACTTTTGGAATTACATATATATATATATATATATATATATATATATATAAGTGGCCAAAGATGGATTTCATCCCTTGTCACAAACATGTAATACTGTTATCATGCATCTAATACTCTATATGAGAAAACAAAATTCATACACTTAATTGGGAGACATGGTCCAGATATTCCATCTTGCATAAGTTATCAAGTGCTTAATTTGATTATGTGTCCATGATGTAGAATATGTAGAATCTTTTATAGATTATTGATATCAATGACATCCAAAGTTGTCTTAAATAGCCTTCAGAAAGTGAACATTACCAGGAGTACCTTGATGCAATAATAAAGGGACCAATTAGCATCACTTTACGCCACCGATTGCAGTGTCATGTTATCCGAGATGCTGCCAAAGATGAATTGGAGACTGAGGAACCTATTCTTGCCTTGAATGAGGTTACAATTGACCGTGGGATTTCATCCTATCTCACAAACCTGGAATGCTATTGTGACAACTCCTTTGTAACATGTGTGCAAGGGGACGGGTTGATCTTATCAACAACATCTGGAAGTACTGCATACTCATTGGCAGCTGGTGGATCAATGGTACACCCACAGGCATGTTCAGACACTGACTTGTTACTCTTATTACTCTTCTAATATTGTTATTTTTAGGTTAGAGGTATTGCCTACTTCTACAAAGTTTCAAATACTATTTCTTTTTACGCATAAAAATAGTATTTCTTTCTCCATATAAATGAATTCTGTAATGCATCCAGTATTACTTTGGGTTAGCATGAAGTGGAAAACAACTTCTGCAAGTTAGCTTTAGAATTCAGTTTGTGTTCCAGAATTTTCATTACCTAGCATGCTCCCAAAATACTCAACTCAACCCATTAAGCCTTGTCCAGTGTTATGATTGGCTACATAAAAAGGTATCGACATTTTAACTAAAAAAAAAAAAAAAAATGTATCAATCCATGAACCATACTACATATGGTTGTATTGTAGTTTGGCTCATTGAATTATGTTAATGTGTGCATCTATTTATTCTGAATCAACTAAGTTTCTCATGGATTTCACATTTACCATTTGAAACGGGATGGAAACAAGAGGCTCATGTCCAAGGGTTAGCTGTAATCTTTAGTAACTAGTTGACCGGCAACAGAATAGAGGACGTATATTTAGAGTTGTGCTTTATGCGTGGCCAGACCCCAGACACAAAGTTACAGAAGTGCCTTTGATACCAGAAACACATAAAAGGGAAAAACAAATTTCAGAAAAATTCTTTTGAATATCTGCTTTCTTCATCACCAAAAGACATGCATTGCTTTATGGACTAGAACATTGGACCGTGTAGAAATACCATCATAGAGCTGAGGATGCTGCAAAGGATGACTAGCATAACCAAATGAATACAGTTAGAAATCAATAACATTGAAGGTTTTCCATTATGTTGAAATTGACAAATCATGGGACTGTTAACTAAAATGATTTTGTCACATGCAACAAAGATTGAAAATGGAACCTGGAGAAAGGATGATTTGGTGCACGTTGAAAACTGAAAAAGACGAGGAAAAGGCTGTGAGAATAAGGTGTAACATCTTAAGCACAGTTGATATGACATTAAATAAAAAAGGAATAGTGGAACAGGGTTACAGTCTACAACTAATTGCCTGTGAAGTTCCAATGGATCGTTTGACTCATTTTGTAGATCCATACGGTTCATATAATTTTTTGTAGCCAACAAATTCAGTTATAATTATTTGTTAAGATAACAAAAAATAATTGTTTTATTTCTATGGCTATGAACTTGTATGGTTGTTATGTAACCATCTCATCTGTACTACGAATGAGATTCTAATTTTGTTGTGATGCAGGTTCCTGGAATCCTCTTTACCCCAATTTGTCCACATTCATTGTCCTTTAGGCCTCTCATATTACCAGAGAATGTAACAGTGCGAGTGCAAGTACCATTCAACAGTAGGGGACATGCCTGGGTATCATTTGATGGCAAGGACAGAAAACAGTTGGCAGCTGGAGATGCGCTTGTCTGCAGCATGGCACCTTGGCCTGTGCCGACGGCATGCCAGGTTAATTCCACCCATGATTTCTTGCGCAGCATACACGAGGACCTCCACTGGAATTTGAGAAAGACCCAGTCATTCGATGGTCCCAAGGAGTTATCATAATTCGTAACTGCTAATACATCATGCATGCATACACAAGATACACATATAGAAATGCATATATTGAGATTGAGATAATGTCGGTGAGTGAGGGAGGTTTCATTAGAGTATCATTTTCACATTCTTTGTGGATGAATGTCTCTGTCTTGTGGTACCAGGAGAGGTAATTTAAAATCTTCTCTGGTTAAATCTATTTGTAGAGTAATTGTATGTAGGAGTAGGTCAAAGAAAACAGTATAACACTTTCTCTTAACCTCCAACCCAAGACACTGGAGAGGTTGGGGTGCAGAGATGAGATTGTATGATTCCATCGTCGGTTCAGTCACCTTTTCTGTGGCTAATATCTTTGTATTAGGTCAGTGTTTACTAGTTTAGACAGTTGTAGTTTGTAAACGGCAAGTAGATCTGAACTAGTTACATGACAAAATGTATTTATAACCATACAACATATTAAGGCCATTGGCATCCATTGTATTCAGTCAATTATTCTTATTTCTTATCAAATGTGCCTTTTGTGGTGCACTGACAGTTTCTGGGTATGCTGAAATTGAAAGCCAGTTCAGACTCGCGCTATGAAACTTGCAATAATTCTAGTCTGTCATTGTTTAAACCAGCCACAGGCCACTCATGTCTTATGCCCTTAACCAAAGACCAAAAGTCACAAAACTTCTGAGGATTCTGTAGTAGATGATCTTCTAATGCAAACAATATGGTAGAGTTTCATGGCCGTCTGGTTCGAGTGAATCCCATTTCATGCCAAATTGAGCCTGTTTTCTCTATGGGCTGCTTTTGCTGTTGTCAGATGCGGATCAGACCCGGGATTGAACTGATACACCAGTGACCCGGTAAGCATTCTGGGTGAGATTTTTCCATTTCATTCAGTCCAAAGTCTGACAACATTGACTGCATCTCTTTTGTTGTAAAATTGTAAAAGGCTGGAAGACTTTTGTTTCAATTGTAACAGGGGTGTGGCTTCTAAAGAAATTTTAACAGGGGTGAAAATATAGTTGAAACATTTACACCCGAAAATTCTTCCATCCTTCCTGCATTGAATTGAAACAAAAGGGGCCATGAAGTTGAGCAGGTAAAGGGAGATGGAAGACCTCCACGCTGGAATTGATTACATATATGATTTTGTTTTCCAAAAAATAAAAAAAAAGGGGTTCGGCCGTTTGGGTTTGATTATGATGCTGGAAAAATATGATATAGAAAAATCAATCAACTGACATCATAAAAGTGGTAACCAAGCCTTTCCAAAATCATATCTTTCCAGCATCATAGATTTTTCAAAAAAAAAAAAAAAAGTGCTACATCAGCTGCATTTTATTGCATGTAAAATCAAGGGAGATGCTGTCTAGCTTATGTTTGAAAAAAAGGACTCATGAAAAATTAGAAGAATTTTCCTAAAATTACCACCGACTTGTTACTTGTTAGAAAGCAGCCATTTTACATACAAACTAACACCCTAAGGACAATATTTTCTGGGATTATGTTTGCTGTTGTACAATACAGACCCTACATATATTTAAAGAATCAATAAGGTCATAATAATATCAAACCAACTGATGAGACTGGCACATTGAGACTTGAGAGAACAAACCTTCGGCTGCCGACTAACAAATCAATGAATCACATACTGCGAATCCATCATGAACCAAATCCAACAATGAACTGAACCTGATAAATAATGGAGATCACTTTAGTGGGTTCCCCCTTCCTGCTCCTCCACACATGAATGACGTGCCATTACGAGACAGTGGATCTTCCATTCACATGGGGGCCCATCTGTTTCTGTCCTCGTTAGGTTAGGTAGAGGAAGCATACATAACTCGTGCGGCCGTTCAACGTTGTACAAGATAGACCCGGTTTTGTCCCAATGTAGGGTCTCTTAATTGGCCTTTAGTCTCTCTACTCTCTAGAAGAAGCAAGCACAATTTGTCAATGGTCATTGTCCACCCAGCACCCACACACACACAGTTGTAAAAATGCACTCTATTTTCAACGGTCAAAACCGTAGTGATGCAAAAGGCCAAGAACCGTACACGTAGACATGATGGTGAAGTAATCCATAAACCCTTTGATTGGCTTTTTGGACGTGGTAAGTAAAGTCTGAGTTATACAGTAGCAGATTGCTCTGTCTCTCACCCTCCAAAAAGTTCTTGATCAGATTACTACAATCGTTCGTTTAGTACAATTCAGAGATAGCCCATCACAGGGTGGGACCCTGTAACAGAGATCATTGATAGTGGCCAAAGCAAGTATCATTGTCATTTGTCAATCTGTCATCGCCACAGTATTAGCAAGGATGGGATGGAGCATGGAGGAATTAGGGTGGCTTCTCTAGACGGTCCCCTCTACTTTTGCCATGTAAAGGAATCTTAGGGCAGATCCAAACCGTCCATCAGAAAAGGGGTTCTCTCCAAAGTTTTTTTTTTTTTTAATTGTAATAAAAGATTTGCTTTTAACACGTGGCAAGATCTTTTTTTTTTTTGCCTTGGAACTTGCCTCATGGGTAAAGGACTGAGCGAGGAACCCTAGAAATTCCTTTCGGACCCAAAACATGTTGAAGATTCCATGGTCTCCCGGGAAAGCTCACAGATCCAAGGAAGACAACTTGCCGTTTTGTAATCCAAATGACACCAGGAATTCTTCTGTTCAAACATTATTTATGGATCGATTTCAGGCGGGAAAACTTAGCCACATGCCCGAATAAGCTCTTCTTTTGTCTCATGAAAGAAAGCCTTGTGATTGAAAATTTAGATGGTTAATGTGCTTCGGGCAAAAGTTTATAGGATTGATGTGAATTGTCAGAGCTAATACATGGTCAATTAACCCTTGTGGTCGAAGGATTATGGTTTCGTTTGGTTTCTTTGTGGAGGAAAATTGCAGAGGCTCATATTATTTAGATTGTTACTTTTTTTGGTGGTGATCTCTAGTTAGTTTTGGTATGTTTTGATCGGTCTTATTGGAAATTGGATTGAGTTTTGGGTTCTATAAGTTTTCTATCTGTTTCTTGTATTCAATGAAGAATTGCCTTTCGGCATAAATAACAACCACCACCCTTGTGGTTATTGTGTGTATCAAATTGATTACATTAAAGTGCATTGTACTGGTAAATTTATTGGTGAGTTTCCTTTCCTATACAATGGGGGTAGTACATCTCTGTCATTTTAAGCTCGCAACCTTGGTCGCAGTTGATCCCAGGTCTATGCTACAATGAATCAGAGATCTTACCAAGTGAATTAATTAGTCTTCAATTACCATCCCACGAAGAATTATAGAATTATACCGATAATTATATATACACATACACACACACACGATGCGTTACCGATATATACAATGGATGCGTTTCAATGGTTTCATATATCGACAGGACATTGGAACGATTTGATTCATATTGTATGATATGCATCAATATGTTGAACCTTAGTTAGAAGTGGGTTTTGTTTTATCATGTCAATAAATAATTTTTCAGAAAGATGAGGGGAGGTCTCAATATTTATAGAAGACTTAGAGGAAGTTTAAGGGTTTTTTATATGTCTTTTCCAAGAAATCTGCATTGAGGTTGCTTCAGGTAGGAAAGGCAACATGGCCAAAGATAGAAGAATGAGAGGAAGCTTTGGATTATTGCAACTTTTCAATTTAGGAAGAAAAGTAATTAACCTGCTAGAAGGTAGTCAATGACATATATATGTTAACCAATTGGAATGAAAAGTCAGTGGAAGGTTTCCCTATGAGGTGGTGATTGGGATGAGTAAAAGCACCAATAGTGAATGTAGATGGGGTTTTCCATTTTTCTAAGAAATACTTGCCTCTTTATTGGGGATGTGCCCTAACCACAGAGCAAGAGCCTTAAAATGAGGTTTTTGAAGGGATGGCCCTGACCCAAAGGGACAATTTACAGTGAAATCGACATTCAACTCAATGATGGGGTTTGAGCTCTCAAAGAGACAAATGGGAATTAGGAAAAATTAACTGTTACCCAAAAATTAAAATATTTTTGTGGTTCCTTCTCGGTGGGAGATTACCCACAGAAATGAGACTGATAACTAATAAGCAAAAACTTTAACATTTTCAGAGATTTCCTATTAACAAAACAGATATAGATGTTAGTAGGTCAATCCTGTCCGTGGCCAGATCCAGACAAAATAATCTGAATCACTTGAGAACAAACATGTGGAAATAACAGATTGTAGGAGGAATTAATTTTCTTACTGTACGAGTAATATGGAAAAACAGAAATGAGAAAGTGAATGATTTTATTTTCTAAAAAAAAACCATTATTACTGACATAGTTGTGTTAGAAAACAAAGACATTCACATTGGTGGACATTCTATTAGTAATAAAATCCAAAACATGGAACAGATGATGTAGAAAGCAAGAGACTTAAAACGAAGAATGGGCAGAGTTGAGTTAGACAACAAGCAAAAATGGGTCAAATGGAAACCACTAGGCATGACATGAAAATAAACTTTAATGCTTTGGGAAATAGAATGGCTGTTGCATTGCTAGAGATAAAAAAAAAGGCAAAATTATCAGGCTCAGATCGGAAGGATTATAAATACAAATATGTAGAGTGCAAAACCTTATATTTTGTATGTATTTACATTGCACATATTTGTATTTATACTCTTTCCAAACTGAGCCTCAATTGCAAATGTAAATAGGTTAGGAAATTGCATCATCAACATTGTGGAGGCTTGGATTACTTGGATTACTAGACCTTAAGCAGCAATTAAGGTCTCTACAAGCAAGTAGAGTATGGATAGAAGGAGATTCAAAGATCATGATAGACTATCTCAACAATAAGGACTGGGGCAGCAATGAAGATGGAGAAATTGTGTTTGGATCGATAATGTTCTCGTGGGTAGTAAATCTGAACTGAGGAAATAAACTCACATATATTAGGAAGATAATCAAGCAGTGGACAGACTAGGCAGGGCAGAGAATGATGGTGAGGAGCCCCCTTATAAAGCTGATTTAGGCCTTGTTTGGAAGTGCTTATTTGATAAATAATTGCTTATCCTAATAAGCATTCATAAGTGTTTTCTGAAAAAGCTCTTATTTTAAACTGGGGTAATATAGTTATTTTTTTTAAATGACGTGGCCGGCATTGAATAAGGCTTAAAAATAAGGGCTTATTGAATAAGGCTTAAAAATAAGCCCAAAATTTTAGTTTCTTGAAAATGGGCTTATTTTAAGGAATATGCACTTGGTTTTTTTCACCAAATGCACATAAAGTGCCTCTTAATGTGGTCCTGGCCTAAAATAATTATTTATTTGAATAAGTACTCTGAAACAGGGCTTAGATTACATCATCATTATGGGCTAAAGGTGTGTTTGGTTCTATCGTTGTTTATACCTTAAATGTTTTGGATTGATCAATACAAATACAAATGGGTGAGAGTAGAATAAGCAATAGTATTACAGTCATTTTAGGTTTGTACAGATAGAAATATGTAGAATGCAAAAGCCTTGTATTTTGTATTATTTTATATGCATTTGCATGTTATATATTTGTATTTATTTATTTGTGCTCTTTCCAAATTGAGCCTTATGCACACTTGGTGAGCACATTAGTAAGAGCACACAATTAGTATGCAGCACCTTTCCTATAACTATGCAGTCTATGCTTTCAAAGCCCACCCATGTAATGACCTAAGCATGGTTGTGGGACAGGTACTGTTGCACATTGATCATATGTGTGCTTATTTAGGGCCTGTTTGCTATGTCTTTTCGCATGGTCTTTCGATTACTTACAAGTTAGGAAAACCAATTTTTGGTCTATTTCTGTTTGGTGCACAGAAAATTTAGCCACCAAAAGACGGAATGTCGAAAAGATACAAAAAACTCATTTTGGGCTGATTTCGGGAAGCTCCAAATGAAACTTTTCATGTCTTTCGCATTTTATTCTCACACTGAAAGACGCGCATCTACCAAACCTGCTTCGAGCTGTTCAGATCTTCATATAAAAGCTCAATGTGTCTTTTGACCGTCAGACCTACCAAAAGATCTTCCAAAAAAGACATAACAAACGGACCCTTAGTGTGTTCACTAAGTATGCCTATCAGATCCTTACTTCTAAATATAATGATTATCCATGCACCATACATAGATCAAGACGTGTGGGACGTGACTCTATCTTACAGCTCCTAACAATACTCGAAATAAACACAACACAAAAATTATAAAGGTTTGGTATCATTGTTGTTTTTATTTAAAACTTTTTGAGTTGATCAATACAAATTGGTTTGCAAATATATATTCTTACATTGCATATGAGAATTACTTCAACGGGAAAAATACATGTCTCTAACTTGCAATTGAATCGTCACATGGCAAATATTTAAGGTGGTTCGATTTAGGAATACAAATACAAATATGTAGAGTACAAAATCTTGTATTTTGTATTATTTTATATGTATTTGTATTGTACATGTTTGTATTTGTATTTCTTCCAAACTGAATTGCGGTAGAAAAAATATTTGTCTGACATATTTGTATTAATTAACCCAAAGCATTTAAGGTAGAAGCAAGATTCAAAGTATCGATATTGACAGATACATCAATAGGACATACCAGCTAGTATCGGTCCTTTTTTTTAAGCTTTTACTTTTTTTTTTTTGGTTCAGAAGAGCCGATTTAAGTCCCGGCTACCCTCTGAACCAGGCCCTGACCTGATACAACCCCTGTAAGGGCATATCAGGAAAGGCCTGATACAATACATATAAGCCAATATGAGCTGATAGATAAGGATTTCTTTGAACCTTGGATAGAAGCAACAATTGATAATACCAAACTACCAAAATTATCAGTGTAAGACAACGGATACGATTAGGCTTGGTTGGTCCAGCGTGAACCCGTACGTGTCAAACCAAATTGGTCCAACTCAATATAGCGAGTGGCCGAGTTAGACATTTGATCTAGTGGTTACCCCTAGCCAATTGTGCTAATATTACCTCCAAAGAATATTTTATAATATTGGTTAATCAAATAACTAAAGGAAGTAATATAATTAGGGGCACCATACCCATTTGATTGGGGGAGACCCTCTCTCTATCTGATCACTGAGACCTCCACCACTATTCCTGTACCTTCAGAGCTTGACCACTGCGACCATGAAATCCACCGTGCTTACAATCACTTTATCAAACTTTAGCTTCATCCTCCATCCCCTTAACCCCCGATCCTCGGGGCAGTGAAATTTGATCTCAGGTCTCAACTACAACGAGTCAGAGATTCGACCAACGGAGCCACCATCAGTAAGAATCAAATTTAAGTAAAGATTCCCACAATTGTCTGACATTTTTGCCAAGTTTTTCAATTCTCATTGAATGCTTGAAAGCAACACGGGCATCTGGTTGAGTGAGCTCATAGCTCATGTGGATCATTCTAGACTCACCACTGAACGATCCCCAGTTCCCCACCAAAAAAAAAATAGACTAATTTATTTAACCATCTCAGCTCTAGGTAAACTATTTCTTACAATTTCACTCAAATGTAAGTACATATATCTCTCCACAAGTCCACATATCTCTAACTTTTGCCAGATAGGTTTTTCAATTCTCAGACTCAGACTCAGTAAATGCTTCCAGGCAATGGGCAGTTGGGTCAGCGAGCTCATGTGCTTACACTTTACAGATGATATGAATTCACCACTGAACAATAAGCCCCACCTCAAAATAGACTACTTTTATCGTCTATCTTAGCTGCTGCAGGTAGTTTTTCTCTGAAACTTCTGCCAGATTAAAATTTTCAATCTGAATTCACCATGATCATGACTGAACGTCTAACCAGTTAGCTGTAGGTAAATTATTTCTTTTTATATTTCACTAAAATCTAAGCAAACCACTCAATATTTCTCTGAACATTTTGCCAGATAAAGTTTTCAATTCTCAGTAAATGCTTCCAGGCAACATGGGCATTTGGCTGAGTGAGCTAAAGTCGTGTTCTACATATGGTCTGAAATTCACCATTGAACGAGCCCCACCTCAACACAAACTAACTTTAACCATCTTAGCTGTAGGAAGCTGCAGATGATCATGTCGGCAATCTCTTAAATCGGACCCATTTAATAGTAATTCCTTTTATCAATGCACTTACAATCCATTAATGAGAGAGAGAGAGAGAGAGAGGAAGAGCGCATCTGTAACCTTGATTAAAACTAGTGATTAACAATGAATTTAAAATGAATTAAGAGGAATAATCACGACTTTTGGTGTCAACTGGGTCAACTCGGATCAGGTCATGAATTCCCTTTCGGAATCTTAAAACCGCAAATCTCGATAACGGCAACAGAAACTGTAAACCATCTGGCAAATGTATTCTGCTTATTTTGCAATAAATAATACACTCTTCCCTAAACTAACCCACAAGTGTAGGATTTCGAGGGCTTATTAAAGGGAGAGATTTCCCTCATAATCACTCATCAGATTCATTACTCTATATAACCTTCATCCATCCAGTAATAGGTCCCACGTGGATGACCTACCAATTTTGCCACGTGTAAGGATGTTGTGAATTATGATGGGAAAAGAGAGTAGTTGATCATTCTATAATGTGGTAGGTAAGTTCATAAAGCCAGAGTTGGGAAAAAGACCTTCACTTCCAGAGTTCCAGTGTAGTAAAACCTTTCAGTTTCAGACCACGTGGCTAGCTGTTTCTTTCAGCCTTCCCAATTTAATGAGCCCATCTCTGTGCTTACGGAACAGGACAGAACTGACCCATGGGCCATGGCCCATCCGTCCTCCTTTCATTTCTACCATTGAAATGGCACATCTGGACCCACAAAACCCAAATGGCTCCACACTCCACAGTCCACACCAGTATGCAGTATGATCATTTCCACTAAAATCAACCCATGATGAACCCTGGAAACTTCACAGCATCCAAATATTTCTACTTTGGATGGTTAATAAGATCAGCCAACCTATTTACCAATCTTGGAGACCCATGGCACCCAATTAACAAATTACATTGGTGGGATCCATTACTTGATAAATCAAGCAACTGGATGGCTGACACTTGTATGCATCATAAAGGGTTTGCAAATTGCAACTATCATGCCCCCCACATCAAATCAGTTAATCCCTTATACTTACCTCGTTAATGTGCGTGTGCCTAGTTTGATGTTTCCCTTTCAAGCTCCAAGCATTAATCTTCTACACTTATTACTCGACGTCTTACTACTTTCTCAAATTTGTATCAACGCTCTTTCCTTTCTGTGCTCTGCTCTGTCTGTTTCTGTGATAGCCCTTCAACAAAACTACCATTTTTACTCTTCATGGTAGAAATAAAGCAGAGCCCAAACAAGCAAAGACATTTCTGTCACTCTCTCACAACTCATAAAAGATAGAACACAGCGAATGAACAACAGATAGAGAGAGAGAGAGAGATGGGCATCTCTGCCAAGGCCAAGAGCAGCAGCGAAAGCTGGGGTTTGGGTCTTCTCTTGGTGTTCTTTCCAGACGACGAGAATGGCCACGACCACGACAAATACATCGACAAGAAGAAAAAACTGCTCACCTCTTCTTCTTCTTCCTCCTCCTCCTCTTCTTCTTCACCTTCTTCATCCTTCAAATCTACTGGTTCTATCAGATATGGTAGTAATAACCTCCTCCTCAGCAAAGCTCAATCAACAATGTCCATTTGTGCTCTTATAGTCTTCTTTACACTCCTCGTCTTCACTCTCTGCACTTTCGAACCCACTCAACCCAAAACTAACGCCATTAATTCTCTATCTCCATCCAAGACCAGACTACCCAGAAGATGGCTCGCCGAGAATTCCAAAGGCTACCAAAATTATAAGAGCAAGAACAAGCGGCCTTCCTCCTCTTCTTCGTGGTTTGCTTCTATTTGGAAGAGGGAAGCTCGTCATCAGAAATCTAAATTCGTTTCGGATTCTTCGGCTGCTCTGCAAGGAATGGGAACTCTGTTTAGGAGAGGAACCAGAGCAATGAGTGATCTTGTTGTGGCTCATACTAAGGAGGACGTTACGGATGACGAGCTTCGCTTGTTTATGAGAAGTCTGCATCGATCTGGTCTCACTGCGAGATCAGATGTCGCGCTTATCTTCCCTTCTTCCGCTTTAGCTTCCCCACTTGGCATTTCTTCGAATTTTTCTTCTGTAATTCGGGAAGAAAACGATTCGTTCTTGAAACTCGTCCGCCATTGCAGAGACAATAATACTAGTTCGACTACCGGGAAGTTGGTGGGTTTTGATGTAACCCAGTTTGCGAAATCGGACAAGAAGGAGAAGAAGGTGGGGGAGCCATTGTGGGGGCGGCGAAATCATGCGAATTACAGCAATCCAGGAGGTGGCGGCGGAGATGAGTTGAACGAGTTGAGTTGGGGATCGGTGGTGGCTTTCGAAGCCGCGGAGCTTGACCCGGAGGGCTCGCTAGCCGGGTTCTTCTTAGACCATGTGCCAATGGCATTGAGGAGGTGGGCTTGTTATCCGATGCTACTGGGCCGAGTCCGGCGGAACTTCAAGCACCTTATGTTGGTCGACGTCAAGAACGTATTGATACTCGGCGACGCGCTTTCCCGAGTCAGGAACCGGAACTCTGAATCAGTGTACTTATCATCGACAACAGCGACAGAAAATCCGCACGGAAAGCACGGCCGGAAGGACTCGGAGAAAACTCAATCTCATAATCAGAAGCCATTGACGGCAGCAGTAATAATGGGCGGAACTCGAGGTGTCCGACGGTTATCAAATGCGATGTTGACGGAGATAGCTAAAACTTCAATGCAGCACAAGAGCAAGAACTCCATCTCCGAGTCAGGGCTCTTGAATCAACTCGTTCAGAACGGGTTGTTATGGATGAAGAACATAGAGATAGTCACTGCAACCGAGTCCATCCCCGATTCGACTACACTCGTAAGTCGAAAATCAAATTCTTTTACCTCCCCATCCACCCCGTCGCCTCATTCAATTGTTCATCACGGTAATAGTAATACCAATATCTATTCCATTCTTCTCAAAGAATTCTGTTCATCTGTTACCAGTTCTGTTTATAGAGACTGTCAATTACAATAAAAACAAATTATACTTTGATCAAATAATTCTATAGAACAGATAATGTCTTTTCTGGGTTTTTATTTCTTTTTAATTGGAATAAGACATTCTTTTCGCTCCTCACACTTGGCTGCTGCTTTATTTTCTCTGTTCATTGAAAAATTGTTAGTATGTAAGCTCGAGAGAGCCAACTCAACGAGTCAACTCACCCAGTCTGCCGAGTTTTTTTTTTTTTTTTCCTTTTTTTGTGGTAATGGGTCCCATTTAAGAAGTTCTTTTACACCAGAGATCAGCAAGGTTGGGTGATTTAGAGCATGATTGAAATGCCCATGACCATGAGTTAGTGGGTCCCACAATCCGGAAGTCTATAGTAGACCATTCTTGTGGTCTACCTAAGGACTCTTTGGATTGTATATTGTATATCCAGATTATTCTCTTCATTAATGAGTTGTTAATGGGTATCGAGGAGCGTGAAAGGCAGAAAATGAGAGATGAAGAAGGTTGGATTCGGCGTTTGTTTCTACTTTCTAGAGTGAAGAATTTTTTTTTTTTTCTTTCCCCCGGAGAGAGAAAGGGAGGGAAAGAGGGGGGGAGTCATGGAGGGAATGTGAGGCAACTAAGCTTAGGGAGTAGTAACCTCATTGACTAATGCCCATGTGCTCATCTTTAGCCCCCGTTAAAAGAAAAGGTGGTAATTTCCGCCTTCTTTCCTCCATTCCTTTGATGGGTTTGGCTTTTGCTTTTTAGCAACAAAACTGCCAAACAGATCCAGACCCAGACCCAGACCCAACTGAATTGCTAATTATAAGTTGGGTTTTGCTTGTTCTACAAGGATTTTAATGAATTGGAAGTTTGGATTTTGGAACAATACAAAACTGCTTTGTTACTCCCAAAACAGATCTCTTTCTTCTAAAAAAGGTTGAAGTCAGTCTGGCCTTCTCTCTCTAAATTAAGGAGTTGGGAAAGCAATGAAATGAAAAAAAGTTGCTCGTGGAAAATTGTAGGCTGTAGAAGCCAGAAGGGAATTGATTGACAACCTCAAGTACTACATATGATTCAAAATTCATGCCAAGTAGACTGGTCCATACAACATTGCAACATTATTGGTCAGAGACGTGATGTTCACATTTCCCCAACTCTAGTCTATAGAGGTGGTGGTCCATTGATGTAGCTATTCATTTATTATTATTGATGAGTGAATTGTGGATACCTTGGAAAGGAGAGAGAGAGTAGAAGAGTAGAAGATCTTCCAGAGAGAAAACATTCTCAGCTGGCCTAACAATCTTTGGTGTTTTGTGAGATGTCAATTGTGACTTACAGTTTGGATTGAGGTGCTCTGCTCACAAATTTGTGATGATGATCAAATCTGCCCATACTAAAACACAAGGCACCGACGCAAATAGTAGATACCACGTGGAAGAATAGTATCCAAATAGTGGGCAACACGTGTCAATATATGTTCCAATTGGTGGGCCAGAACAAAAGGACAACATTGATCAATTTTTCTTTTTCTTTCTTCTAACTTTAGATGGAGAGGTGGGGTTGGAGAGACAGAAAGATAAAGCAGACAAAGGATTGGTTTCAAAGGTTCTTGTGAGCAAGAATCCATATTTCGTAACCTATCAATTTATATGTATCGTATCAGCAAGTCACCGAGGGGGATAGGCAGGCCTAAGACAAACTCCCTAGCCAATTTTGGAAAAATAAAGAGAATTAAAGGTCCGTTTGGTTTGTGGGAATAGGGGTTTGGAATTGAAATCGGAATTGTTCATTTTAATTCCAAGTTCTGACTATTTGATTAGGTGAAATTGAAATCCCATTTTCATTTTTAATCAACTCCCTCTCCCGAAAATGAGCTAGAATCCATTTCAATCAATTCTAATCCAAACAGGTAACGGAAATAGACCATTCCAAAGGATTTTGATTTCAATTCTAATTTCAATTGTGAACCAATTGAAACATCTGATAGAAAGGTTATGGCATTTTGATTGTACCAATACTTTGAGAGTGATTCTTTCTCATGTTAATTTGCTTTCTTGGAATTTAGTGTTGGGATTCATGTATGAATAATGTATGGCAGAATGAGAGGTGCAACAGACTATAGTGACTTATAACTCAACATTAAGTGATGTTCATCCCTTGTGTTTAAATACTAAGCAGATATACGCATGGTAGGATGAGAAATAGAATAGAAAGGTCTAAAGGGTCACCTCCCATCGTGATGAACTGATGATGTTTTAATGTAAGAATAGAACTGTGTTAAGTATGTGTTTGGTTCCGTTTATATTTATTGAATAAACATTTGTATTTACATGGTGTTTGGAAGTGTGGGCGTTTTTGGGACCAATTTTCAAGAAAAAATGCCTACGCTTCCAAGACTCGTTTTTCACAAAAAAAAAAAAAAAGCTTCTACCACGTAGGCAGTAAGCAACACAGTTTTTTTGGTAAGGTGATTTTCATCACCGTTTTTCATGTATGTGCTGATAGGTAAGCACCACATGGGATACACATCAGTCAACCGTTGAGGGAAACGGTTCACCGATGAATTTGGTGTTTCATGCATCAGTAGGGTCCCGATTTTCAAGGCATGCCCGATTTTTTAATAATTGGCTGAACCAAACAATGAGATATATGGGCATTTGTTGAAACACTTGTGTAGATCCAACATGGCACCATTTTCTTAAAAAATGGCCACGATTCCAAACATCCTCTTATTTGCTAGTAAAACCAAGAAATGCAATAATTATAATCGTTTATTACAACTAGGCTCCCCATCAGTGTAACAGTGAAAAAATGTCTGCTCATTTGTAGAAACTTTAAAAAAATAATTTTTATAAACGGCTGGCGTGCACAAAAACCAAAATTCATTTTTTTCAATTTTGATAGAAAGAGAAAATGCTGAAATAACACGTATGTAGCACCGTAAAAAAACATTTATTGAATAAACCCAAACAGAACTAAACACCCTTTAAATTAACTTGAAACACCCCCAACCCCACCAAACCCACTCCTTTTTCTCTTCGGGCTACAGTGCGACTGCATACGGGAATTCAATTAGTCTTCAGTAATTTCCCATGTGATTAATGGGGCCCGGATCTTTTGCACTTGCGTTTGATTTGTGACGAGTGTCCCTTGCACGTGTTTAGATATTGAGGTCCAGAAAAAAATATATTATGGTGGGATACTTGTCACACACTGAATGATCATATAGGGAAAAGAGCATATAGTGAAGAATAGACGTGTTCAGTCTATTAGAATTTTGAAAAAAGACAAACCTGAACTCAGCCCATGAATAGGTATAGTTAAGAAGTGCAGGAGATCGGGAGTGGCAATTATAATTATATATGTTTCATTGGACGTAATACTAGCTTAAAAAAAAAGCAGTACTTATCACTATAGTTCTAAATCGTAAGTGCAGGTTTCTTATATTTTTTACTGACATGGAGCATTATTGATTTTACAGCTTACTAAATAGTCATCGTGTTCAATTAATTCTTGCTCCTATATTTCACATTTCACATGTTCACAGCCATTTTGTTTGTTCAGAGGCTCCATACACAAATATGATTAATCCAAGGCAGAGAAGGCAAAGGGTTTAGGGAGGAATTTATAAAGTTTAGACCTTTTCTCCCTCTCCACCTTTCAACCTGTATCTTTTCCAAAATTCATAAAAGCCGGATTTTCAAAATCTAAACCCTTTGTGCATATGAAAATATAAAACTCTCACAACCTTGTTTTGTTCGTATTTGAAGGTGGACAAATCAAATTGGGTCCAAAATTTATATTTAATTTCTTGTTATATATAAAAAATAAATAAGCAAAATAATATAAATAAATATAAAAATTTTCAATTATTTAATTGAAACATGTAAAAAATAGTATTAAATTTAACAGCACATAATGCATAAATTCATATGCCTTCAAATAATGATTTAATTATAATTACTAGGTGTATTTTAGTAAATTAAATCTACAGATCGAGGAGGATCAGGCCAGGTTGAGGGAAGCTTCCGTAAACTTTCTATTAATATCATAATTTTAATCTAACCAAACATATCCGTCGGAATCCTGCCTGCTCACAATTGGACAGGATATGGGTGTCCAATTCTCTACATGAACCGGACGGTACTGGGATCAATCATTCTGATACGTAGGGCCCATATGTACAGAAGTGATGACAAATAATATAAAAATAGTAAGTTGATTAAAGAATGGGCAAAGTCACAGAGTCACAGAACCGGTAAATGGGGTCTAAGCTAACTGTAACTTGCCATGTGATTCACATTGCAGAGGTTGAGGTCCCACTAGGCCCATTTGGTAGATCAGGCCAAATTCATAATTACAGATATATAATTCCAAGAAAATACTTTTGTTGGTCATTTGAGGCCTCTCTGACCAACAATGTACTGTCTTTTTTATTTTCTCAGTTGAAAAATCATTTTTTATATGGACTAATAATTTATATAATGGATGGTGGGCCCCCATATTCCAGCCAACTGTATGGCTGCATTGGCTCTATGTTTAATAATTTGTTAGTGCTCGATTCATGGACTACTTGGCGCTAGATTCATGGATCGGACCCCATCGGTTTCGGTTCAGTTGTAAAAAAAAAAATATCAACGCTTTCATAAGAGTGACAGCTAGCTGAGTTTTTTACGAGTTATTTGAGTTTGATTGGGTTTAAATCGAGCTTCGAGTCTAGGTCAGACCTAATAAAGCTTGGTTCATGAGAATTACAACTTTAATCAAGCTTCTACAAACATACATGCATACATATTCACATATATACATATATATATTATATTTTATTTTTTTATATAATAATAATAATAACTGATTATTATAATTATTAATTTTTTAAATATAAAAATAATAATTTTTTATATAGAATTTTTACTTTTATAAAGCATTTGACTCACAGTCGAACTCGAACTTATGAACTTTTGATTCGAGTCAAACTCGAGTTTAAGTCTCTAACTCGAATCAAGCCCTAATACTATCTTGACGAGTCGAGCTCGAATAACTAATAACTATATAGATAATTTGGCTCAGTTTGAAATCACCCCTACTTTTAACTAGATGGGAAATTCAGTACTCATTGACCAAAGGTTCTAAGTATCGATACAGGTCGATACACCCTACCGACCTATCGTCCTTTGTCAATGCTCTTTTTTTAAAATTAGTTCAGAATGATCAATTCAAGTCTTGACTACACTCTGAATTATGGTCTGACTTAATATACCCCTATAGAGATGTATCGAGAAGGCCTGATATGATACATATTGGCCAATACAAACTATACTTAACGATATTTTGAATCTTGGACCAACCATTTAAACCTACGCCCTAAGCTTGTAGGAATTTGGCCAATTCGCCGCCCTCCTCAATTGGAGTTAATTACAGCTATTCCTCTACACATTTATTTTTCCTCTCAAGATTTCTTTGTACTTTTTTCATACTTTGTCTTTGAGATTACCGCTCCCATTTTTTTAATGGATTGTGCTGTGTTTGATACTATTGCTATTTCTACCTTTAAAGTTTTGGAGCTTTGATCAATACAAATTGATGAAATGAATGTGTGGGACTAAAATAATATTAAATTTGATGCTTTTTACGTAGAAACATCAATGCTATCAAACACAACCTATAAAAGATGGTTAAAAGTAAAACATCTACCAGAAATGTGTTGTAAGTTCAAGGGGTTAAAGCCTAAAAGAATGAAGACAAAAATAAGAAATGATTTAATTGTTATACTTTCTTTCTTTCACCAAACACCAAACAAAAGGTGTTTGGTGATATGTAATTGTTATACTTTCTTTCTTGAATCTTGTTAAGCCAAAAGCGAGAACATGGTCAAACATAATACCATAAAGCCAAAATGTGGTCAAAGAGAATAGGTAGGTCCTACATTTACCTTTTTGTTCCTAGCACCAAGCTGGAAAATAGAAAAATTTTGCAAATTGAGTTTTTTGTTAATTCGTTTTAGATGGAGGTATCTATTTAGTCCATCAATATTATTTATTTATTTACTTATTATTTAAATAGAGGGTGGGCCTTGGCCTAACTATTAATATTGGATTGCTCCATTATAATTTAGATCATCAAGATTTAAGTCTTGGAAATAGCTTCTTTGTATATACAAGAATATAGCTGTGTGCACCTATCCTTCTCCAGACTAGTATTGGTAGGAGCGTCGTATATTGGGTAAGGACAGATTCACTAGGTGTTTGGCATTGGTGTTGGGAATATTGCATTGTTTTCTGAAACAAGCGGTGTTTATTTTTTATTTGGAACCGATGCTGTCATATAGGCTGTTTTCTGAGAAAAGAGCACTAGTTTTATTTGGTACTAGTGCTGGCAGCAAGGTTTTCAACATGGTCTATACTATCCAATATGGTCCTCAGCAAAATCCCTATGTTTTGAACATCACGGGTGATAGTTTTTTAACTCAACCATATGGTTTAAAAAGAAAGTTGATGTGATTAAGTGATTCTACGAATCTTCGGTGATATTCTTATATTGTATAAAATGAAGGGTTTAAAGTATCAATATAATACTTCCGATACAAGGAGTATTGTATTCATATCCATAACCATGGGTACGGAATGCTATGACTAGGTATATATCCCATAAGCCATGAATATGAGACTCAAGCTCGAAAGTACACATGGGACTTGTTAAAATGCAATATTATTGTATACACTTAACAAAATCTATAAGGGATAAGTAGACTGCACTCCATCTCAGAATTTTGAATTCAACTGCAGACCTATAACAATTCAAAATTTCAAATACCTCCATCTATAACACCAATACCCATTTATGTATTTGCATCAATTCCGAACTGGCACCTACCCCAATTATACGGTGGAACTAAGATTTATTAGGGTGGACTGAACAGTAAAAACCCCAATATATAATTATATATACTTTTAACATATTATATGTATTTTTATATATTATATATTATATATTTTTAACATTAAATTATATTTTAATGTGTTATATATTATTATTAATATATATGATAAACAAATGACCTTAAAAGATCAAAGTTGGATGGTGATATAGATGAATAGCTTCTATATCACCAATGGAATGTTGGTTATTGTTTTATTGATTCGTGATTACATTTGTCTTCACAAATGCAATTTTGGAAGCATTTTTGTCAAAAGTAAGGCTGTCAATGGACCGGGTGTAGGTATTTGACCCGATCCAATGCATGTCGGTTACATATAGTCCGGATCCAAATAGATTCAAATTCGATGGAAAGGGAATCCAATTCCATTTATTTTAATGCAAATGGGTCTGATGGATATGAAATAACAAAATTTACATAGAAACTAATATATATAATAAGAAACTACAGAAAGTATCAGAAATTATAGAAAAGATATAAAAAGTTTTTCTAATATGCTGGCAGTAATTCTTGTGGATTAAAGCAATTGTCGGTCCCTAAACAGATTCACCTCATAGAGGCATAACTAAAAGCGGGATGAATTCGATCTTATTCTCTCATCATGTTAGGCTTATATTCAAAGCTAAATTAAGTAAAAATGTAAAATGGCATCGCTTGAGCTTTGCTAGCTATCAGACTAAAGAAACCTCCTTCTCTATGGTCCCTGCACTGCAATTGGCTGTCCTGACTAAGACCATTTGCAGAAAATAACTTGGTCTGCTTTCTCTACCTTGTGATCTTACTTTGGCAATCCCCATGTGATTGGTTGGAGCAACACAAAATGTTGCTTTCTTGCTGCGTACAGTGAATCTGAGTTTTTCACTAAGGACATTTTAAAAGGGGTGTGCTTTAAAAATAAAAAGCCCCCCTAATTTATATTTGGACTCAAATTTTGATATATCATATAATATGCACTGAGAAGTTTGATCTCAACAGTCGAAGATCTGATCTTGGAGTTGATAAAACCTTGCATCCAGTCGACTGTTGGATGAATATGATGGTATTATCATAGTCCAACAGTCGAAGATCTGATCTCAACAGTCGGTATTATCATAGTCCAACTTGAAAGTAAAAGACAAACAGAGGGGAAATTCTTAAGAAATTTCTCAAAGAACTTTTCCTCATCAAATGTCAAATGGGGTTAGAGGGGGTTGAGAAAAATTTATGCTTACCACCCCTTTTTTGTAGCAAACGCGGCCCAAAGGATCTTAAGGAAAAAGAAAATTGTGAGAAAATCCTTCAATGTTGCTCATTCATGTTGGTTTCAGCTTCAGTTTCTATAGTTGGGAGGTGTTAGATTGTTAGTTCACTAGATTTTGGCATGTTTTTAGAGAATTAACCTTATCATTTCTGTGTTTTTGCAAATTTGCAGAGGAATAATCTGTTTTAAAAATAACTTTTGAGTTTTTGATTTATATGAAAATTGCTTGAACTAATTCATTTTTGGGCTCAAAATTCATTCTAAAAGTTGATTTTTTTTATCTATAAAGTTTAGCTTTAAAAAGGAATCACTTTTAACACAAAACTCATTTTGAATTTCTGGAGCAGGACATTAACCAAACAAACTAATTTCCCACGAGATGATGAATGTAAGAGTAACTCACGACAACCCTGTGAAGCATGGTTGGTGGTGCATGAAAGGGTAAGGGTGGTCAGTGGTCCTTAATGGGATCAAGTGCCACTTGACCCAATAAATTGATGCTGAACCCGAACCCGAACCAACTGTATGGCTGCATATCCTTCAACAGTTAGGAGCTAGCGAAAATGTTTACTTTTATGAGTTTAGTGTAATTGAAAACTATATTAATGATTAATCATGATTGATGCAACTTCTTCAGCATTTAATTTTGACTATAGTAATTTTACTTGATCAATACCACCCCAGCCATTGATTTCGATGACTATTCTGTCTATCTCTATCTCATATTTCACGTGGGTCGGGCGACCCAAATCCCAATCAATAGAATAAGACCAGTAACTGATCCTGTTATTAAGCGGGTTTATTAGTTATTAGGTCTGATCCAATAAAACTTCAATGCAATTAATGCTTCATTCGTATTTTGGTAAGTTTTTCCTGGGAAATACTTATTTATCTATGTTTATATTATTTATAAAAATGTGAATGAAATATACTGGCTTTTAGAATTTTTATTGGACAGTTTTATCCCTATATTTTGAGGTCTTTGAAGGGTATACATGTAACTATAATTTGATAAAATATTGCACATTAATTAATACAATTAAAGAATGAATAGAACAGAATTTTGGTTTTGTTTAAAAAACAGCCAGTTAATAAATATAGTTGACATTACTTTTTTCTTTATAATTGATATAATAAGTTGAGGCTGGTCGCTTTAGTATATGAAGCCTAGGAAGAAACATTTAATTACCCCTTGCAACTAACAACAGCTATAACCTAGTAAGGGGTAGTAGCAGAATCAAAAGCATGAATCGATCAATTTTTACCCCCTCAACTCTAATACAGCTACAAAAAAAAACCTTGTCTTCTCCTAAACCGCATATCCCCCTGACCACCTAGAGAGAGAACCTCCGCTTACTAACCCTCCTCCCTGCTCAAAAAACCATGGCGACACATCATCTCTGCACTTCTCCAGCACTGGCACACAAGTACCGACCGACCAATCGCTTTGCCTTCAGCTTCAAGCCACACCGTCTTGGACCAGTCGGCCACTCCTTGTCTACTGTAGTTCGGTCTTACAAGGTGACAATCGAGCACGATGCTCGTGCCAAGACAACCATTGATGTAGACCTAGATGAAACTATCCTCGCCAAGGCACTAGACTCCAGCTTGACCGTCCCACATAACTGTAAGCTTGGTGCGTGCATGACGTGTTTGACTCGACTGGTGAGCGGCGAGGTTGATCAGAGCGAAGGCATGTTCAATGATGATGTCGTTGAACGCGGGTACACACTGCTCTGTGCTTCCTACCGTCGATCTGATTATCACATTCGGACCATCCAGGAAGAAGAATTGTTGTCACTGCAATTGGCAACTGCAAATGATTAGGTGCAAAGCAGCGAATGTTTATACCTATTACTTCTCCCCCTCCTCCTTTTTTGTAATTTGGACACTTGGAGAGAATAATAGAATGAAGCCTGTTATTTTAGTTCTACAACCTTTACTGCAGTTGTTTATGAGTTTTGAGAAGATTATTAGTTTTGTTCTTACAACTCACACGAAACAGTCTATATCCATATAGGATTTTAAACTCAGAGAAAGGACAAAACTTAATAAAATCCTTTCAAGGTTGTCTTCAAAAATGAGAATAGGTTGATGGAGAAAATAAAAAGAAATGCACATTCATTCAATAAAATGAAATTAGTAAGAGTGGAAGAAAGGTAATGTTAAGTTGTTAATCCTTCTCATCATGGATTATTTAAATAGTGATGGCCAATGTTTTCAATTTGCCATTGACTAGCCGGTTTAACTGCCCAAACCATCACTCAATCAAGATTCTGGGTTCAGTTTGAGTAAATCCGAAGAGAGGTTAAAAACCATTGACTTGATAAAAAAAACATCCAACCTATATAGTTGGACCATTGCCCCATTCGACCCGGTGATTGGGCCGCGGGTTGCATATTAACCATGTATGCAAACTTTGGGAGGCCTAACTTTGCATTTCGATGTCCGACTGTGGTGATTTTTTTTATTTTGGGTAATTTTTTGATATTTGTGCATCCCAATGTTCCATATCCAGTTATTTTTGTCAAAACCCCTTTTTGCCTCAAATTGCAATTTTTAATATTTTTTATGAACAAAAAATTTAAAGCTAAATAAAATCATAAATTAGACACCCCATTTTTATGTCATTCAGTTATTTTGCAACACTTTGAGCTTCAAGCATGCTTTAGCTAACCTCTCAACTGACCTGGGGGCATTTTTGAAATTTTACAAAAGTTAGGGCCTCAGAAATCCGAGACCATAAGTACGTAGAGCAAAAAATCCAAATCCAATAACACTAAGATCACTTGAATCTGACATCGTTTACCCCTTCATCTTAAGACCCAAAATCGGAACCAATTCCGATCGTCCGATCGGAGTCATTTTGATCCTAAACCTCATTTCATGTCAAATCAGAAATCCAAAAACATATGTATATCCCATAAATCCAAATCCAACGACACCAAGATCACCCGAATTTGACACTATTTACCCCTTCATCCTAAGACACGAAGCCAAAATCGATTCCGATCGTCCGATTGAGATCATCTTGATCCTGACACCTCAGTTCATGTCAAATCAGAAATTTGACACCATAGGTACATAGAGCCTAAAATCCAAATCAAACAACACCCTAATCATTGAAATCCGACACCATTTACCTCTTCATCTTAAGACCTAAATCCAGAGTCGATTCCGATTGTCCAATCGGAGTCATCTTCATCCTAAACCTCATTTCATGTTAAATCAGAAATCCAAAACCAATAGATCCCAAAAATCCAAATCCAATGACACCAATATCACCCAAATCCGACACTGTTCATCCTGTTATCCTAAGACTCGAAGTTAGAACCAATTCCAATCGTCCGATCAAAGTTATTTTGATATTGAATCTCATTTCACATCAAATCATAAATCTAAGACCATAGGCACATAGAACCCAAAAATCCAAATCCAATGACACCAAGATCATTCGAATCCAACACCGTTTACTCCTTCATCTTAAGACCCGAAGTCAGAACCAATTTCGATTGTTCGGTCGGAGTTATTTTGATATTGAACCTCATTTCACATCAAACCATAAATGTAGGGAGAACCAAAAAATTCAAATCCAACATTAATTACCCCTTCATCTTAAGACCTGAAGTTGAAACTGATTCCGGTCGTTCGATCGGGATCATTTTGATCATGAACCTCATTTTATGTCAAATTAAAAATCTGACAGCATAGTTACATAGATAGCCAAAAATCTATATATATATATATATATTGAATAGGTGGTCTTTGACTTTTGAAATTTTTATTGGACCACAAATGCCCCTCTCTAAAGTTTGAATTGGAAAATAATATAAGTTAAAATTGTTATTTTACATCTTCATTTAATGCCTTTATACTATTATTAAAAGTGTGAATAATGGTGTAGAGCTTTTGTATTATAATACCCTTATTTTTTTAATTTAATTCCTCTCTAATTGTGAGGGCACAAAATGTAATATGAACTAAATTTCTTTTCATTAAATTTCCTCTCATTAAGTTGTATTATTAACTCCCATTCCTTTATTGAATCCTATATTTAAGATATTATTTTCACAAAATAAAAAATATAAATTTTGTCAATTAGATTTATATGCAATGCTTTTAACGATATAAATGCATGTTTTTTTTTAAATTTATCCCAAAATGGAACTATTTTTCCATCATCGTTGGTGAATAAGCAATTCAGTCATCTGAGTCAAGTGGGCTAATCCATGATGTCATAATTAAATAAAAACTTTAAAATATAAACAAATAACAAATGTAGAAAAACCGGGTACACACACACACACATATATATATATACACACACACACACACTCTTATTAAAGCAAAAATAAGTATGATAAATAATAATTATTCTTATTCATGGAAAGCAATCCAAAAGTAAAAATTATTTTTGTGGTGGCAAGTCAACATTTCAATTCAACCTTTTGAGTTAAATATGCCAACCTTTAATATCATAATTAAATAAAAATGGAAAAATATAAAAAAGCACACAAAAAACATTATGTAATGATACAAAAATTTGTAAATAACATTTAGGCACCTATCTAATATTTTTATATTAATCATATTAAAAAAATAAGTGTGATAAATAATAATTTCTTTATTGATGTTAGAAATAAAATTTAAAATTTAAAACCAAACTAAAAATGAAATTATTTTATTGGTGGTAGGTTAACAATTCAACCTTTTGGATGGTATGTGTCAATCATTGATTTCATGCTTAAACAATAAAAATCAGAAAAAAAAAGATAAAAATACAAAAAATATGAAAAAGTAGAAACTCAATAGAAAACATTTGGATGCATATCTAATATTTTATATTAATCATATTAAAAGTTAGACACGATAAACAATAATTTTTTTAACTTTTTATTGATGATATAAATAAAATACAAAATTCAAAATTAACTAAAAAGTGAAATTGTTTTCTTATTTGATGGTAGATCAATTCAACATTTCAGGTCAAATGTATTAACTTGTGAAGTTATAATTAAATAATAAAGATTTTATTTTAAAACAATAAAAACACAAAAGTATACAAAAAATATATACATTATATAGAAAACATCTAGGTATATCTCTATATTAATAAACCATAATAAGTGTAACAAATAAGAATAATTTTATAGACATAAAAATATAAAAAAATTGTAAAACTTTTAGAAACATATTATACACTATCATCATTATAAAACTTTTAGAAACTTATTCCAATTCTAATTCTAATTCCTGTTTGAACCAAAACAGACTATGGGGGTAGGAACATTTCGATTCTCAAGGAATTTTGATTCCAATTCAGATTCCGATTCCGACTATGGGACCCTAAGTTTTATAATGTGTACAAAAAAGTTTTACTTGTATCAAATCTATAGCTGCCTCGGTATGGGCTCTGGACCATTGACAATCAAAGCCGGACAAAAGAGGACAAAATGGAGAAGGGCGTCGCTTAAGCCCAAAGGTTTGGGTGCCCTACGGCCCACGGCCCACCTACAGGATCTTGGCCATCGTTTCCGGTTCCTCGTCCCCCGTGGTGTTCCAGCAAAAGTGGGGCTCTTGTCCACCGAAAGCGGTGACAGCAAGTGTCCTCCGGTATAGTACCTTTCCGGCATCAAAGATTCAACCATCAAATTAAACCGAGGGAAAAAGGTTAAATTGTATGGTACCACTGTTACGGAAGTCGAATGGTTATTAATTTATGGCCTATTTGGCAAGTCTTTTTGAGAAGATCTTCTTGTAGCTCTGACAGCCAATAGACATATTGAGCTTTTGACATAAGATCTGAGCAGCCCAAAGACCGTTTGACAAACGTGCATCTTTTCGTGCATCAATTCGGGTCTTTCCGCATGAGATTAAAACGTGAAAGATGCGAGAAGCTTCAAACCCAAAATGGGCTTTGCACATCTTTTCGGCACTGCATTTTTTGGCAGCTAGATCTTTTGTATGCTAAATGAGAATAGACCGATTTTCGGTCTTCCCGACTTGTAAACAGCCAAAAAAATACATGGAAAGACACGCTAAATAGGCCCTTATTGTTGAATATTTATACCGTAGAAGTCACTACTTGGGGCTGTTTCATCTGTTTCAAATGGTCCAGTCACAAGGTCCCATTACTGTCATAAAATTAATGTTTTTTTTTATAAAAAAAAAAAAGTAATGTTTTCAAATTTTAATGGGTGCCACATAGGATATTGTGCTTCAACGGCCAAAAAACCTATTTGTTAATTGTTAGAATGTTTTTTAAGTGAGAAACGAGCGAAAACAGAAATAACTAGACATCAGTGTAACTCATAACCACTTGAAACATTAAAAAGGTATTTCAAGCAAAAAGCTAGTGTTTCTCGCAATGATGATGTGGCATGATAACAACATTGTCAAATGCCAATGTAACCTTTTTAACATCTCTCCAATATAGGTGAACCATTGCATGCTATCCTACATGGCAGCGACATTGCCAAACTGTTTTGTGGCCGTTTCTAGTGAGGTATTGCACTGCTGTTTCCAGTAGAAAATACATCACTGAAAACAACCACGGTACGGTACCAAACACCTACTGAATCGCCCAGTTGGACCAGTTGATCCATCATCCAATCAGGTTTTTGGGGTCATTTAGCCTCTAAAGTCTAAGCCACTTGCTTGCAAAATGAAAATTGTTGATTCAATCAATAACTCAATACCCAACTGGTTAAACCATTGAAGACTCATTTAATGAGTAATGGATTAGATATTAATTCTTCTTTTTTTGTACTTTTACCCATTTCCATTATCAATAATGATAATTCTGAATGGAATGACTTATTTAGTGG